CAATTAAGATCTGTCAATATTGTAAGTTCAAAAAAATCATTATTTGTAAAGATATAATCGAATTTACATTTCATGTTAATAAAAGGAGGTTATTAGAAAATTATTTTCTATCAAGTCTAAGTCAAAAACTTCAGTAACAAATGAATGCATATATTTAAAGGGACTCCACTGAGGTTTTTTGACATGATAGGATTGGAAATAATTCTTTGAGATTATTACTCTGTAGATGTAAATCTATCTTTATAACTTATGTGCAAAATATCAGATCATTAGCTCGCTCCGTTTTTCCAGAATAATTATTATAATAGTGAAAAATGATCAAAAATTGAAAAGCATTTAAACGCTTTTCAGTCAAATCGGACTTAGCATAGCACAAATATATGATTTTCAATGTAATTCCTGTATATTTCTTGGTTATATTTTATTTGTATTTCTGTTTTAAGTGCTAATGTTTATCTATGTGAAAAATTAAAATTTTAAGGATTTACGCTTATAAACCCCAGTGGAGTTCCTTTAAAGATTACATATAATGTGGACAAATATTTGCAGTACACATTTTACATATTCTTCGATGTTTGCAAATTGTTTTAGAAGCATAATTATATACATATATAAAATTTCAGTGTGGTGACAACCTTAATAACAACATACAAGATCTTAAAATACTCTATTAACTAAACTTTATTCGTACTTATACAAGTTATTCATTTAGTTTACCTTCACAAACATTACATAAATGTTGATTGTACTTTTAAAAAACAACTTGTACAAATAACTGTCTTACTTTTGAGTCGCTCCTATCATTTATAATATCATGACCTTGACAAATTTTAGGTATCATTTATTGCGAGGTGTTCCACATTGGAGGCTGTCGTACTTCAGGCGTGCAATTTTGATACCTAATCTGATCTTATGATATAAGATTGTTTTTTATTACATTTATTACGATATACAATAACCGTTGTTGTACTTTTTAAATTTAAGTTGTGCTTTTGACTTCGGAACAAAACAGATATGAGAGGAGTACTTTTAGTTATATTGCATTTGGTATATATTTTTTTTTATATTTTGCCTTTTGTATATATATATATATATAATATATATTATTTGATTATTTTGTAGTTTAAGCTGCCGATATATTTATATAGAGGATATTTGTTTGTTTTGCATGTAAGATTGAAATATATTTCATTGAGTGAACACCAGATACAATATTTTCACGAGTGAAAATATAAGTGCTGGTGTTCACGAATGAAATATAATTCAATCTTACATGTAAAACAAATAAATTTTCTTTTTATTTCTTGCTTTTAAAGTGATGTTAAATATTTGTTACTGATTTCGCCGCGTAACGTCATGCATTCTTCTTTATGACAGTCATCACATCATGACGTCACATCATCAATTTTCAAATATAGTTCTTTTAAATTTTCTCTAATTTTGTTATATCATTTTTTACATGATGTATGATGACACCGACTTTCTTTTCCTAAAGAAGCAAAAGTTACGTATGATGGCATTTGTTTCTGCCTGTTATTCCATTTAGTTATGATGTTCTTTTCATCCGCATTCAGATAAAGTCCGGCTGCAGTGAAAATTATATTTTATTAAGTTCACTAGTGGTTTATCAGAATATAACCATCTGATAAATTACAGTTAAACACTGGAAAGCATGAAATAAATTGACATAATGATACTACGCTATCTTTACGCTATTGATTTTTCAAATCATTGTTCCCGGATATTACCGTTACGGTGGTTTCTAAAAAAATATTTTACTTTTACTTCTGACCGATCGAATGAAACACTCCACAATATTTAATTTATTGATTAATCTGCGAATTTTAAACAATTGTTAAATACACTATTTTTATTTCCTTTATATTTATTTATATATAAGACATAATATTAGTCAAATCTGGTACTTGTCAAGAGTGCTACAGGGGCTTTATTAGGTGGCTCCATAACTCATTTTGTTGCCCTTCGCTCTTTTTTACACCGTGCATTAAACTCCACTTAAAACGAAATTCAGGGGATCTCAACTAATTACAATATGCATGAATATAGATTAACACAGTGCACCGTTAATACTCTCCGTTTGTAAACACTGATATAATAATTCTAAATATTCACAAGAAACGACGTATTCGACAAACTGATATACTGTCAAACAATAATATTGACGTATTTATCATTTGACCGATGTTGTAAGCTAGAAAAACCTTTAGGCTTATATCCTAGGCGATAATAGTTCAACATCGGTTGTCTCTAACTACCGATCTCTCAATCAAATTTGCACGGACCCTCCGAGTTCGTGCAAACGAAGTTTGACTGTATTTACAATTCTTTTATATATAGTGTTTCATTGGTGCCAACACAAAGGGGTTTTCTATTGACGATCTTGAAAAACGGTTGAGCCAACTTTTACAATGTGAGATGCCATGCAGTTACGATGACGAAACGGTAAACTTCAATAAATACAATTATTGATTTTTTTAATCAATAATATATATATTCTATTAAACATATTTTCTGGGTTTTTTCTCCTTCTTCCTCTTTTTCTTCTTCTTCTTCTTTTCTTTTTTTCTTCTTTTTCTTCTTCTTTTTCTTCTTATTTTTCTTCTTCTTCTTCTTCTTCTTCTTCTTCTTATTATTATTATTATTATTATTATGATTATTATTATTATTATTATTATTATTATTATTATTATTATCAAAGGGATTTTACACCAATAAGACCTATATTACACAGTTGTTGATATTGTTATTGCTGTTATTCTGTTATTCTTATTGTTCATGTTGTTGTATTTGTTGTTTTAAAGTCATGCCCGCCAGGATATCGCTGTGATTTTGACATGAATTATGATGAAGGTGTTTGCGTTCGAAGAGGTAAGATATAGAATATTTTAAGTTTCTATTTTTTTTTTTTTTTCGTATTCGATGCAGATAGCTAAACCCCATCTTTTGCTCTCTTTTTTTTCCTTTTTCGTCTTTTTACAATAGTACAGTTATAGTTATTAAGTATTTCACATGTAAGTCAAAATACTGCTTTGTTTACGTTCTGGTACCTTTATCAGACATAATATCACTGTGAGTGTTGTTTTCTCCAGGTGATATAAACGTCGTATATTCAAACTCTGTTATTACAAAATTATAAAAACATGTCTCCATTTCTAGAAAAAAAACATTTCTGAAACCTTACGTGCCTGTTACCATTTATACTTATTATGGGATTTGAACTCAGGTATATTTTAGAGGGCAAAAAGAGTACAAATTTAAAAGGGGCGTGTGGTAAATGACGTAAAACAACTTGCCCCGCACTAATGTGCGTTCGATTTCCACAAAGGGACTCCAGACTTGTGCATGTCAGGAAGTTATCAAGCTACTTAACAGAACGTCGGTAGGTCTATTCAGATTAAATAATGCACGGAGGGACACCTGAGGTCTTTCTCTACCTGTGAAGCTTAAACGTCGCAATATGACCGCAGTGTTGGTGCGACGTCAAACCAACCAAATAAATAAAGGAAAGAAAAAAAAGAAAAACATTTTTTTACAAATTAATCTATTACTTTTTACATAATGTGGTGTCCGAATATGAGGATATTATAAATTTGTTTCAACGTTATTTGAAAATAAAACAATTTTCAGCATATTTAATTAAAGATAAAGCAGGATATCGAGTAAAAAATAGGATATAAGATTGGTTACTAAATTTGTTCAATGAAACCTCCAGACATAGGCTTTTTGTAGGCTTTTATTTTCTTAACAAACAAAAAAAACACCTAAAGGCCTTTTAAAAGGTTTTCAACTAGGGTTTTTAAACGACGGGACTGGAAATGTATATAGCCTTTGATAAAAGGCTTGACAAAATACTTAGTGCAATACAAGATCATTCGATCAACCTGTTTTTTAGAAATCACTGAGATTAGTATATATACAGAAAAGACTCCAAATTTGAAGAAGAAAAAACATTTTAAACTAAACAAAATCGGGCTAAGAATCTAACACAATTTTTTATCTTACACAGAGAGAGTAAAAATTTACATGACCAGTTGATTTAAGACTTAATGTCAAATTTTAGACTTAAAGCAAGTGTTATCACATAGAATTATGTTTTCCTTTGTGTCAGATTACGAAGACAGTTGTTATCAAGTAGGATTAGCCCGACTGTACAACGGCAAAGTATCTCAGACCATTAAGGGAACCGAATGTCAACGATGGGATTCGAACACGCCGCATAAACCCTATCATCGGTATACAGTTGATGAAAAATTTCCAGAGAAATCAGTACACGCTGCCAACAACTACTGCCGTGACCCGAGCAATACCGGAAGACCTTGGTGCTACACTAGTGATCCAAATGACAGATGGGATTACTGCGATGTTCCGTCTTGTACGTAAGAAAATTAGTCCAGACCATTTGTTTATGAGATTGCGTTAAAGGATTGACAGAAAATGATTACGTTTAAATTAATTTACTAAGGGAAACATTAAGAGTATTGTTAGTGGTCGGTGGATAGAGGTCGTTGATTTAAAATTACTTTCCCGAATACCGCTTTCTATTTGTATTCTTTGGCGAATAAACTGTCGAGCTAGATTGTGGACATTTCAAGTAAGTTTCCGGCTTGTGCTCATTTACAACTGAAATAACATATAAGGTGGTACATAAAGTGCTAGTTTATCAAGAGAATAAAAAGTCGTACAAAACATCATAAAAATTGTTATGTTAGCGCATCGTCCTTTGAAGGCTTAACAGTTGTGTACTTCAAACAATGGTGACATTGACAAAAGCAAACAGATAATCTACAATATCATGTATTTATTTTAAATTAGGTTACAGTAGAGACTGCTACAGGTACGGGTTTGCAAAAGTATACCAAGGGTATGTTTCCGTCACAATGGATAACATACCTTGTCAGAGATGGGACAGGTCATATCCGCATGACCACAAATACAAACACTCGGACTATTACCCAGACGAGTCTGTTGAAGATGCTGGAAACTTCTGCCGAAGCCCTTCGGGTGCCAAAATCCCATGGTGTTACACGACCGGATCTAAACGATGGCAATATTGTGATATTGAGCAATGTAAGTGAGTGTACACTAATGTTATTATAGTTGTAATACATTAAAGGGAATTTGCTCATTGTGGAGGGTCTACAATACGTTAAAGGGGATTGGTTCATTGTGGAAGGTCTAAAATACATTAAAGGGAATTGGTTTAATGTCTAAGGTATACAATACATTAAAGGGAATAATTTCATTGTGGAAGGTCTGTGATACCATAAATAATTATGTTTGTAAATTCTAGTTTTCATACTAGACAACTAAGCACGAAATAATTATAAAATATTTAATGTTGTTGGTAAGTTCGAGGTTAAGCAGATAATAAAAGAGTATCGATACATTTTGTGTAGGTCTTATTTTCAAGGACACAACGGTTGAAAAAAGGTAACGACCACTGAACTTAAATAGTGTTTTGGTGTTCTTAATATAACTTATCTTATTGTATTAAAATTTATATTGTGATAACTTTTAGGCCCATACACATATTGCTACGACACAGACCTGTCAGAGCTTTATGTTGGAACTGTTACAAAAACGCAGAGTGGAATAAAATGTCAGAATTGGGATTCCCAGTATCCACACAAGCACAAATACGGCAAACCTGAGAAGTTTCCAGAAGGTGACGTCAGCAAGGCAAAGAACTACTGTCGTGATCCAAGCGGATACGGGAAACCCTGGTGTTACACTACTGACCATATTAAGCGATGGGAGTTATGCTGCGTCATCAACTGTTCAGATTTAGAGTAATGCTTATATTTGCAAACAACAAATTATTATGCTAATGACTCACACAAAAAATAATAACAATAAACATAATGAAAACGCTGCGATTTGTTTGTCGAAAATGTTTCTTTATTATTCTTTTATTTTCATGTTTCTTTAAAGCTTATAGAATGTTTAAAACTATCTGGCCATCAAGTTGCTAATAAGCTTAAAAAATCATTAACATTTTAAACATTTTTGCCTTAAATGAGATCATATATTATGTATATATAAACAATAACATAGTTTTTGTTTTGATCATATCAAACATATTAAGGCCAAGATAAGCCATTAATAAACTTTATTCCTATTCATATACTTAAAAAAAGTTTTCTTTTAAAATATTCTTTTGAGCATTTGTGTTTTCTTTTTATTTACGTTGTAATCTTTTTTTCTTTTGTGTGTGTATGTATGTGATTTTTGAGAGAACGTGCGTGCGTGTGTTTGAGTTCACATTATCAGATTTGTTATATTATTATATTGTTCCCGAGCTGTGTTAACATATTACTATTAAACAGCGTACTCAGAAATTAGTTTGTTTTATTGTTGTTATAATAGCATTTGGATTAGATTTTAGGGATAACAAGCAAATACATACAAAACCTTTAATGTTAAGAGTATCACGAACACGAAGAACATCAATACTGCCTTGTCATGGCATCATAATAATTTACTTTACGATATCTTGATAATTTACTTTATTACATCCTATTAATAATAATATATCATAAATATAAGATTTATTCATAAATTCTCCACAGAAAATTGCCAATAAACCATTACGCTTCGTAAATTCATAAAGATGCCAGATCATATTGAATAGTTTTGTTTGTGAATCATAAATAATCTGAATAATAAAGAAAATGATATATTCTAATATAAAAAAAGCTATTTATTTCAATGAAAGCATTTTATATATATTATAATTTCTATTGTCATCTTTCACATTATTACGGTCTTTCTAAAATCCTATAGTTTTTAAATGTTTTTTTTCTCAAAGCGTCCTGAAATCTAATTCTAACAGGTGCACGACATTACGTAGAAAGACATTTGATAGAATACGACAAGTAAAAGAAATGGCAAAAGTTCAAATACAAAGAATAGAATGGAAATTCCATAGCAAGGAAAAAATACGATTACCATATTTATTATGCTGTTCATACTATTCGCGAATGACATTATTGATAACATTAATACAAATTTAGATGGTTTATTTACTGTAAACGAGCTCAAACTATTTTTAATCCTTTTTGCCGACGACCAGGTTCTGTTTGAAAAGTCGCCGACATCATTACAATCTATGCTTAAAGATGTTGAAAATTATTGCACAAGGTGGAATATGAAAATCAATACATCAAAGACTAAGGCAATGGTTTTTGAGAAAGAACGTCATCATACACAGTATGATTTTTTCATCTATAATACAAAAATTGAGATTGTTGAAACGTTCAAATATTTGGGTTTAACCCTTTTTAAAAACGGAAATTGGTTCAGAAGTCAAAAGAAAATAGCCCAACATGCATCGCACGCACTACATAACCTTTTCTCAATTTTTAATGATATAGAGTTACCTATTTCTCATAAGTGTAAGCTGTTTGACTCGCTTGTCGGATCTATTTTAAATTTTGGTGCAGAAATTTGGGGAAACCATGACGTTACAGCTGTTGAGGCAATTCATACAAAATTTCTGCGTAGGGTCTTAGGGGTGAAAAAATCAACAAATTTATTAGCACTTTATGGGGAATTAGGACGTTACTCTATATCTATATATCGCAAAATAACAATGATTAAATATTGGGTTTAAATAGTTAAACAAGAAGATTCGTCTCTAGTGAAGAAAACTTATTTACTATTAAAAGCAGACGCTGATTCCAATATAACGTATAGAGAAAAAACATGTAACTGGGCGTTTCAAATCAAAACGTTCCTTTTCAGAACTTGGATTTCTATATGTTTGGCAAAATAAAAATCAAAATGAAAATGATATTCCCCTTTCTGTTATCAAACAAAGAATCTTAGATAACTATTTACAAAAATGGTATGCAGATATTAATAATTCCAGTCGACTCTAGTCATATTGCATTTTTAAACATAACTTTGACCGTTAAAAATATCTTTCGGTGATTTCTGATTATAAATTAAGAAATACATTATCCAGATTTCGCATGTCCTCTCATAATCTATATATCGAAACTGGTAGATACTATAATATCCCAAGGGAACAAAGACTTTGTAAATCATGTAATATGTCAATGGTCGAAAATGAATACCATTTTTTGATGGTCTGTCCACATTTCAGAGATTTGAGAAATAAATATTTTAAACGCTATTACTGCCAGTGGCCGACTTAGAATAAATTTAGGGCTCTCATGTCAACAAACTCTACAAAAGATTGATTGAATTTAGCTAAATTTGTTTACTTTGAAAATAAAAGAAGAATTGTGTAATTTTATTTTTTTTTCATTAGAATCACGCAAATATTGTTAATATTTCAATAGGGTTATATATGTGTAATGATACATTTACATGTTTATTCGACATTACATAATCATGATACTTTTTTTTCAGAATAATGTTTCATTAAACACTCTCTTCTGATAACTGTATAAATTATTATGTAAAAAATGCATTTTGTTGTTTGCTTTTCTTTTCTTCTATGTTTTTTGTTAACACTGTAGAATAGAATTTGTATAGGCTATAAACATTGTTTGAACATGTTTAATACTGAATAAAATTTTCGTATTCGTATTCGTATTTATTAAACCTATCCTATCGGCCGCTGTACGCTTTCTTTTAACTACACCTTTACTTTACAGTAATGATTGCCATTTAATGTCTTAATGATATCCACCCGTCAGATAGCATTATTCACTAAAATCAAATTTCGGAAATGATAATTCCATTTCGGGAAAAGGATATAGCGAAAAGGTAATGTTCCTGAAATTTATATTGTCGCGGTGTCTATTTCTAGCTTTTCTCTATTCTCTGGATAAGGTGCGTATGAAAGTCGTTGAAAGTCGTTTTACTGCAATTTATCATAAGAAGTGCTTAATACTTGAATAAGTCAACATTTTACGTAACGCGCTTAAAGAGTCCAATTTCGAGAAAACGTAAGTTCGCGAAACTTTGCATTGGTTTTATGGTAATTGAGAAAGGAAACCAGAAAAACTGTTTCCCGATTTGCTTAGGTTTGCTTAGGTTTACAATAGTGCAGGTAACCTGCTTGTCGAAAACAAGATGAATCAAAATATTTTCAATAAAATCAAACTTGAAAAAAATGTACTAAGATGTAAGGGAAAGTAAAAAGTTTCAAGATTCAAGTTATATTTTACTTATTATGTACGAGGGTTGTTCGGAAAGTTTTGAGACTGGGTCAATATTTAGCGTTAGAAAAGATAAAATCAAACAAGAGTTTACTATGTATTACTTTAATACCTCATCTATTATAGTGTAAAATTTCATAACAATAGCTTCATGTATACAAAAGCTACAAAGCGTTAGGCACAGACACTACCGGTGACCGTCACCGTAGAAAAGTCAACTGCTACTCCTTTTCAAAGTATCTTCCTTCACAACGTACACATTTCTCAGGCCTCGTAACCCACTTGGCGAATACATTTCTATACCAGTCAGATTTAAATGTTGCAATAATGCTCATAACTCTAGAGCGCAGTTCAACTAGGTCCTCAAACCGGATTCCTCGTAGTTCGGATTTGATGGCCGGAAAAACGGAAAAGTCCATTGGGGCCAGGTGGGGTAGTAGGGTGGGTGAGCGATGCGGTTAAACCCGAGAACATCAAGTTCCAGAGAAGTGGCAGATGCTGTATGCGCAGGCGCATTGTCTTGATGTAGGTAGATGTTCTCCAGATTCGCAAGCATTTCCGGCCGCTTCTTACGGATAGCGTTGATCTGTTCCCGTCTGATTACCTTAAACAGAAATATCGGAGCTCGTACTTAATACAGATACAGGTGAATTAATTTCAAATAATTATTTTAATAGTTAAGTAAGTAATCAATTTAATTATCTATATTATTTATATATTTATTTTTAATTATTTTCATGTTAAATAAAGTTAACATAATTACTCACCCTGCAGTAATAGTCAGCGTTCACCGTCTCTCCCTTCGGTACAGCATGTGTTAACAGCATCCCCTTCCGGTCCATGAATAGAATAAACATATGTTTCCCAACGGAATTGGTTACACGTGCTTTCTTCGGGGTGGAGACGACGAGTGCTTCCAAACTGAAGACTGCGACTTTGTTTCTGGGTCGTAGTAGTAAAACCAGGACTCGTCGGTGGTAATAATTCTGTCTAAGAACGCGTCGCCTTCTCTCTGGTATGAACGTAGAAACTGTCGAGATGCTTTTACTCGGTTTTCTTCTGATCAGCCGTCAATAATCTCGGTACCCAACGGGCCGAAACCCGAGACATTGCAAGTGTCTCAGTTAACATTTTGTGAGGCAGTTGCCGTACCTACATCACAAACTTCTGCAACTTCTCTTACTGTTATGCGATGGTCGCACTGAAGCGCGTTTCTTGCAAGTGTCAGTTTATCGTCGATGACGGATGGGCGACCGCTCCTTTCCTTGTCTTTTGTTGACTTTCTGCCATCCCGAAACTCTTTATACCATCTAAATACCAATGGTCGACTAACAGTACGTCCGTTGTTTGCCTGTTCTAGAAGTTGCTTAGTTTCTGTTGGCGTTTTCCCATGATTAACGCAAAACTTAATAAAAACACGCTGTTCCTCTTTTGACGGTGTTTCCATAGTCGTTGTCTTGTCGCGCACGTATTGCTATAATGACCTGCGGTAACGGCTTAATCAACTAGCGGAAATGACGTCCTTAAGTTGGAAGTGACGTCATAAAATTTTCGTGACGTTTGGCGCAATTTTAGGGGCTCTTTTTATTCAGTAAGAAAACTTATAACAAGAAAATAGTCCGTGCGCCAGGATGCGTAGACAGGTGTTGCTATGGAAACGATTATATGCCGTATAGTAACGTTACAACGTTTTAAAGACATAACTCGGATAAATAACATATTAAGCTATAATTTGTATTAAATAATATTCGCAGCTGTAATTAGAAACAGAGAAAATCATATTGTCTTAAAACTTTCCGAACAACCCTCGTACAATTTATGACTGATTTTTTTCAGTATCTTTAGCAATATATCTACTGCGTTACTAACGCAGTAAAGGCTATTGATGCATATTTTGACCACTTTTGGTACTTTGCGAGGTTTGTAAGTGCCATTGACAATCTGTAAATTGCTTCCTTTTGGTTACTTCACAATATTTCTCATTCAAATACAATTTCAAGATTTTCAAGAAAGCAGCATGAATCTGGAGGCGTGCTGCTTTAAAACAAAAGATAATCGGCGTTCTTAGATTAGCTACACTGACAATTCGCCCTAATTAATATTGAAATTATAGTTGAAAAAAAAGTATTTGGTTGCTTACATGTTGGTATATTTAGATAGATCAGTATTTCACTGCAATTTTCTAAATCTATAAGGTATCAGTTTTTC